ACTGTCCTATTAGTGCTAAAATCAGGACAGTTGACAGCCAATCAGATTTGAGAATTTTGTTATAGTTATGATTTAAAAGCAATAAATAAGTGCTACTGAGAACCAATCAGATTCGAGAACTTTGTTATTGATACAATTATAATTTATAACAAATTTTAATCATCATCATTTTCACAAAAATGATGATAATCATAATAAAAACAATATAAATAAATAGAAAACAGTTTACTGGCAGATCAGAATGGTTAGGTTGATCAAGGACATTTCTCGCACTAATTAAATTTCCTTTACCGTTCATTGCAGGGCCGTCACAACAGTGCAATAGTCCAAACGTTTTCACAAAGGGCAAAAAGGGTGAGGAGCTTAAATGCCCATTTCCTGCCCATATTGTCTCCTGGTTCAAAGATAACAGATCAATTATCAATGGAACGGATGATCTGTATCAAATAGAGGCACGGTTAAGCAATGGAAATGTTCTTAGCAAGCTATTCTTCTCCCTTGTCCGTATGCAGCATGCTGGATTCTACACTTGTAAGGCAAATACAAGTCACAACAATACAAGAAGCTGTAAAGTACAAGTTTTTGTTGAATGTAAGTATTTCAAATTTCACTAACTTTCATCACGAGTATCAAAAGAATTTAAAAGGACTGTTCTCTCTGTGGTTTTGGGGATCATGGAAAAGGTCGCAAATTTAAACACACACAAAAAATGAGTTTAGGTGGTCATGGAAACTAAATTCTGTGAAACCAGGAAGGACATAAACGTTGATTTTGAGATCTTAAACACACTTCTTAGATTTCGATAAAGGGAAAAGGCCCATGGACGGAGTTGGAATTTCCGGAAGTCGCTAGTCTTGGTTATTAGCAGGAATAAAGTACTGGTTTCTCCAAAATGTTTTACAAGAAGTACGCGCGAAGTCAACAGCAAAGGGAGAAAGAGTAATGCAAACTACAAGCGGACGTTTCCATTACCGACCAGCTCGTTAAATAATTCCACGATGTTTCAAAAAACTGGTTTGCTCAACTCCAATTTGTGCGTATATTCAAGTTTCAAGCTTAAAAATATCAATATATATAATATGAAGTTGAAAGATTACGGGAATTAACAAAATTATCAGCAAAGGGAAAATGCCTTGATCCTCTAACAAATTCTCTCAACCAATTTTTCAAGAAATATATGGAAAAGAAACCATACTAGAGAACTTTGGGGCTCACAGGGTAAAATGAACTTTTGTTCTCAGGTGAGGAAGGCTATATCCAAGCAACACCCAACATGGTCACTGCCTCAGAAACCTCCAACGTAAGCCTGTATTGCTCGGTACTGGCCAGGGCAGACTGCTGGTTTTTAGATTCCTTCAAGTTAACATGGGAGTTTGAAAACGAGACCCTTCAAAACAATACCATCAAGTATACAATTAGGGAGCATCATATAAACAACAAGTGCAAAAACCAACGAGTACGACTACTGTTTTCTCTGGAAATTATCAACGTGACGTATAAAGATGATGGAAAGTACTCTTGTCAGATGTCTTGCGATTTGGAAAAAAAGAGCTCCTTGGTTTGGTTGCATGCGGTCGCGCAGCACACAAAAGGTACAGTCGAAGCTCTCGAAAGCGACCACCTCGGAAAGTTCGAAAAAAGTGGTCGTAACGAGAGCTGGTCGCTTACGAGAATGAGCTCTCGTAAGCGACGCGTAAAACAATAAAACAACAGAGTGTGGTCGCTTTCAAGAGCTTCAGAAAATCATTAATAATTCCTAAATACAATACAATACAATACTTTATTCAAGAGATAAAAACTAAAATTACAAAATATCTCTCGAAAGGGGATAGTGGTCAACCCTAAATAAAAGATTAATTCCCCAAAAATAAAAGATAAAAAGGTAAAACTTTTACCTTTTTATCTTTTACCACTGACGGTTAGCTGTTTTAGAGTTGAATGGGATGTGTGACTTTGTCGTCTATTGTTATTATTATTTTTTTTGTCCTATAGTATCCCATTGCCGGTAAGCACGCGAAAAGAAAATATTGCTAGAAGAGTTATAAAACAATTCCAAAGTTAAGCCAAGTTTTCATGACGAAAACGCCTTTACGCTGAAGAAGATTAGAACGTGCACGCGCTCGGATAAAACAGGGCACGCTTTAGTTCAATAGATGAATGGGATGTGAGACTTTTTATTCATCTCCTTGTCAGACAACCGAAGCACAGAATTTAAATGCTTTTTTTATGACGCTGTGAGAAGCAAGGAAGCCTGCGACGCGAAATCAGAAGCGACAATGTGCTCTGCACTTTTCGATGAAATACTTTGTAGAGTCTTAAATGAAAGATTTTTTTCCCCGGGTAGCCTTGTGCGAATTTATTCAAATGAATCGACGAAGCGCGAGTTTTGAATGCTGAGTTTACCACTTTGAACTTAATAACCCACTGAGTGCGTGTATTACTTATTCAAATAAATCAATGAAGCGCGAGATTTGAAAGCTGAATTTAGAGTTGAACAGGATGTGACTTCGTCGTCTATTGTCTTTGTTTGGCCTTTAATATTCCATTGCCAGTAAGCACGCGAAAAGATAAATATTGCTAGAAGAGTTATAGAACAATTCCAAAGTTGAGCCAAGTTTTCATGACGAAAACGCCTTTACTCAGAAGTAGGATTAGAACGTGCACGCGCGCGTTTGAAACAAGGCACACACAGGGCACCCTTTAGTTCAATAGCTGAATGGGGTGTGAGACTTTTTATTCATTCTCTTTGTAAGACAACTGAAGCAAAGAATTTAAATGCTTTTTTTTGATAACGCTGTGAAAAGCAAGGAAGCCTTGCGAAGCGAAATCAAAAGCGACAGTATGTCCCGCTCTTTTCGATGAAACACTTTGTAGGAGACTGAAATGAAAAATTTTTTTTCTGGGGGTAGCCGGGTGCGAACTTATTCAAATGAATCGACGAAGCGCGAGTTTTGAATGCTAAGTTTACTACGTTGAACTTAATAACACTGAGTGCGTCCATTAGTTATTCAAGTGAATCAATGAAGCGCGAGATTTGGAAGCTAAATTTAAAAACTTGTAAAAAAAATCTTTGAATGCAGTCTGAACAATATTCGCAAAGGGCCTTAAACAACCTTTGCAATTGTGTAACCGAACCGATAGGGTGACGACAGTATTTTTGTCCCTCTCCCTCTAAGTGAGTTTCGCTTTGAGGCAAATGTTACCCTTACCCTCCCCCGAGGAATATTGTTCACTCCTTGACACTCGGCGAAGTTTCAAATTTGCCGCCTCGGTAGTCATCGGAATTTTGCATCTGTAAAGACGCTATTGTTTAAGTCATTTCACAAATGACTAAATATGGCCAATTTTACAACAGAAAACAATACCTATTGTTTTCGAATTGGACCCGCTTTTCTTGATACGAATATAGAATCTAAAACATTATATTTAAAACCTAAAAACTATAATCATTTGCATATCATAATTGAAAATATTTACAATCGTATCAATCAATATTCATATAAATATTCCTTAATCTGTTGCGAAATAAAGTCAGCGATCCTGCGTGTACAATCTTTAGGCAAGTTATTCCACGCATTAACGATCCGTACAAAGAAAGAATATTTGTAGCAGTTTAGGATGGCAAATTTTACATAGAGCTTATAATCGTGATTGGCTCCAGTTCGATTAAAGAAAAAACAAAAGAAATTAATGCTGTTTAATGAGTGTCTTTAGTCTAATGTAGACACGGCTAAACTTTAGACCATTACCGCAGTGTGCAGTTTCATTAAAATGTTGATTTATATGAACAAGACTCTGAGTGGTCGCTTACGAGAGCTTAAAAGCAGTAAAAAGTCCAGTTGGGTAATCCCAGCCAAAAGTGGTCGCGGTGGCTTATGGGAGCGATCACTTTATACGAGTTCTTTTCATTACAAAGTTCAAGTCACAGTTCAGACGGGATTTCACAAAGGTGGTCGTAACTATAGCTGGTCGCTTACGAGGGTGGTCGCAAGGAGAGCTTTGACTGTATCATGTTTATGAACTGAAAATCAGTTATAATGTAGTTACATTAAGTCACCTATGAATTATATGTCCTTAACCAATCAGATAATAAGTTGTTGAAACTTGATCAAGGTGGGTTAGTTACCTGTCACAAGTGCAAAAACTCTTCCTGTGTCATTGGTTAAAACATCAATTCGGAAAGTTGTCAGTTACTAGTGTCGTATGACTACAGAGTGAATTGGACTCCATTCAGTCCTGTTGCTAAAATTATTATTTGTACCCAAGTCTACAACCTCGTTCTCAGATTCTCTCTCCTACCCTACGGATAGGAGAGAAAACCTGGGAGCGAGGTTGCCCAAGTCCAGTCGCGCTGGTTTAAGAGAGCAGACGTAAACAGCCGAAGTCTATACCCAATTTTAGACCATAGTAAGTCATATACTTGGATTAAAAGTCACGTTTACGCTAAACGGCAAACGTCAAATTCAAGTTGAGAATTTTTCAGAATAGAAAAAAAGCAGATAAAAACTGTCTAGAACAATCCTTATGGCTTCTGCTTTTTTTTGAGTAGCAGTAACAAACAGTAGAAGACAATTAAGGGGAAATCTTGGTCACGTGATACAAATTCACGTTTGCGCGTTTTAATAGTGAGAATAGAGAGATTAAGATTCGCGTTTATATTACGCCAAGCGGCAGACGTGAATTTGTACCACCTGACCAAGTTTTTCCCTTATTTTCCGTTTTCTCTTTATTGCTTTTACACAAAAATAAGTAGTTGTATGCCAGATTTAACCATAGGAATCATTTGGGACTATTTTTATCTGCTTATTTTCTATTCTGGGAAATTCTCAACTTGAGTCTGACGTTTGCCGTTTGCGGTAAACGTGAATCCTCTCTATTAAGCTTCACGTGTAAGGCAAACCGCAAACGTGAGATTCAAGTAGATAATTTCTCAAAATAGAATATGAGCAGATAAAAACAGCTCAAAAGAATTCTTATGGATAAAAAATTGGGTGAAACTACTTATCAGTATGCGAAAAAATAATGAACAGTAAACGACAAGTAAAGGGGAAACTTGTTCACGTGGTACAAATTCGCGTTTCCCGTTTAACGTAAACGTGTTGCTTAACTTCTTTATTCTCTCTAATATTGTTTCGCAACCCACATACCTCTTATTAGAGAGTACCTTCCCTGCCTTCATGTTCTAATCTAGTCTAAGGACATACCAGTGCGTTTCGACACATACATGCAATTAAGTTCAAACTCCCGCTTTTCCGAACTGTTAATGTCGTGTGCATGTGTAAGTTAATAGGGAGCTTCAGCAACGACGAAGGCGACGGCAATGAGAACGTTAAAAATGCAATGGGTTTAATTAGCAAAACAGCAACTTTATAATCTTTGCACGTGCATCACGCTTTTTTGTACATTTCTTTGCCGTCACCATACGACTACTTAATTGCCCGAATTGCGGTCCCCAAGAAATTTGACATTTTCGGTGGAATGGAATAAACGAGACAAAGTTTGAAAAAAGAAACGCGAATTCATTTTAAACACTCTGCTCTCCCTTTCTGCTCTCCCTTTCCCTTTGGAGTGGGAGGTACGGTCTGACTGTACGAGATTAATATCGAGTGTGATGTCATACTCTGCATGCGTAGGTGATATACGTGCTATGAATGGCCGTTTCCACTCTCTAGACGGATGGTCCGTCTCAGAGGAGTTAATTATCCTTTGAGTTATTCGCGTCAGACACCTAATCTGTCCCATGTTAAAGGGACAGGCTCACGGTTAAGCGCATGCTGATTAATTAAATACTTTTTTCCAATTTATTATTGATTCTATCGGTTAATAATCCCACTCACACGTATTTCAGCGATCTCAGAGTGTATTTCAAAGTAGAAGTGTATTTCAGAGTAACCTGGATTAGATTGGAGGAGTACTAAAATCGCAGAAAAAAATAGTGGATCATGCCAACACTACCAACTTTTATTGTTGACCCAACGATTTTATTCCGTGGTTGATTAATTTACAGCTATTTGCAAATATTTGAGTTGATCAAGTGCAAGTGACTGCCAGGGGAGTGTGCAGATTGGTTCTTTGACAACATTATGACATGATCATATTGCTTGCATAGACGATACAGCATGTGCCGGCAGAAAAACAGCATTTTGATTAATGAGAATGCGCTTAACCGTGAACCTGTCCCTTTAATATAAAAAAGAATCTGTCTGACCTTAACCGTCTGTTTGTACGTTGAGTTTGGCAGATTTTGAAAACGGATAATCCGTCCCTAGTGTAAGAACGGCCAATGGCTTTAACAGGTTCTGTGCATAAGGTAAATTTTTGATATTTATTATTTTTGATACTTTTTGTTATTCTTTCAGTGCCAGATGTTAGCCAGAAACATGAAACAACACGTCCAATAACGTTATTCAAAGATCACGCTACTTACGGTAAGTAAACAAGAAAAAGATAATAATCAGCATCGTTATTACACATTGTACGCACTGTCTGTCTTCATTGACTTTGAGCCTACAGTTCATTTTGGAAATCACAACCTAAAGATTAGTTAGGCTATCTGCTAGCAGTCTGTCAGCACAACTTCAGATTAGCTACCTATCTGTTAACAGGTACCGTATTTATTCGAATAGGCGCCCAACCTCGAATAAGCGCCCGCTCTCAAGCTCCCGCCCGCCCAGGGCGGTTAATCGAATAAATACGGTAACTTAC